GATGCAGGTAGTGTGGTGTTACAGGCTCAAATTGATGATTTGTCCAAACAGGTAACTCAACTAGTAGCCATCCAAGCTGAACCTTTACCGCGCAACTGCTACAAATCACGTGGTCGAAATACACGTCGTGGCCCACTGAGAAAACGTTACGAAAGCCCTCCTCCGGGTATTTGTTTTTTATCACCACTATTTGGAAACAAAGGCAAACAAATGCCACCCACCGTGTGTCGTTATAACGACCAGGGAAACGAGAAGGGCCGTTGCTCGAAGTCGTGAATCACAACGGCCGGAATTTTGCACGCCTTTTCGTCACCGAAAAGAATTCGGGCTTAAGGTTTCTTGTAGACACCGTGGCTGATGTTTCTGTCCTTCCACCACATTTTCACGAACAAAAGCGCCTTACTAAGTTACAACTTTATGTAGCAAATGGAACTCCTATTCAAACTTTTAATGAACGCCTAATATCTGTTGATTTAGGATTGCCCCGCAACTTCCAATGGCCATTCATTATTGCTACTGTCCTATTATTCTATTATTGGCGCTGACTTTTTACAAAAATTTTCTTTGCTTGTCGATCTTAAGAATCGTCGTTTGATAGATTCCACAAGCAACTTTACTTATCCGGGAGTAATTCGCAATAGTCAAGATTTGAGCATTAAACTGATTTCGGGTAAATTCTCAGAGAACATCAACTTCTCAGAGAATTTCCTACAATCACGCGCTCAGTTATGGGTATTTCCGAACCCAAGCACGATGTATTACATTATATTGAAATTAACGGACCTCCAATTGCCGCTAAACCAAGACGCTTACCTCCGGACAAGCTTAAAGCTGCCAAAGAGGAATTTCAATACATGATGGAAGAGGGAATTTGCCGTCCTTCAAAAAGTTCATGGGCCAGTCCGCTCCATCTAGTTCGGAAAAGAAATGGTAAGTGGTGATTATTGCCGGTTAAATGCAGCTACAATTTCTGATTGTTACCCAGTCCCGCATATTCAAGACTGTATGCAAGTTTTAGAGGGAAAAGCTATTTTTACAACCCTTGATCTTGAGCGGACGTATCACCAAGTGCCCGTTAACCCAGCTGATATTCCCAGCTGTTAACCCAGCTGAAACTGGGGTTATTACGCCTTTTGGACTATTTGAGTTTCCGGTCATGACTTTCGCGGTTTATGCAATGCTGCTCAAACGTTACAATGCTTCATGAATCAGGTGTTAATCGGCCTCGACTTTCGTGTACCTTATTTTGATGAAGTCTTAATCGCCTCCTCTTCAGAGCAAGAACACCTATCACATTTGAGAACAGTTTTTGAACGTTTTCAAAGATACAGTGTCAGTCTTAATCCTTCCAAATGCGTTTTTGGCCAACCAAGAGTATCCTTTCTTGGTCATGAAAATTTCCGCTGATGGCGTTCGACCGCTTCCAGAGTTACCACTATCCGCAATATGCCCGAAACATCTACAGTGAAGGATTTAAAGATTTCTTGCTATGCTCAATTTTTATCGACGTTTCTGACCTCATGCAGCAAACCATACAAACACTTCTAAATTCTTTTTTGGTTGGAAGTAAGAAAAACCATAAACGTGTTATAACCTGGGCCACAGAATCTCGCGAAGCGTTCCAAAAATGTAAAAATGATTTAATTTCGGCAACAAATTTGCAGTATCCTTCCGCATCTAAACCATTATCACTCTACGTTTATAAGGTATTTCTCCCGCTTTCCTAGCGTGCCTTCGTGGTGTAGTGGTTCTGCACGCTGGGCCAGTACGCCAGAGGTACGCGGTTCGATTCCCGGCGAAGGCGGTTGCTAATTTTTCAATCTCTCTTGCTTCCAAAAATCCTAATGTCTCTACAGTGGCGCCCGAAACTAAAAGGGGTGTTGGATGAGGATTCTCCACACCCAGGATTTGGCGATTGGGTCCCCTAAAAACCCCAGTCGCCCTTTAAAAAGGGAAGTGTATAAGTTTTTCTCCCGCTTTCGTAGCCTGTCTTCGTGGTGTAGTGGTTCTGAACGCTGGGCCGGTACTCCAGAGGTCTGCGGTTCGATTCCCGGCGAAGACGTTGCATATTTTTCATCTCTTCTGCTTCCAAAAAATAACGTAATGTCTCTACACGTTGACGCATCAACAACAGGTATAGGAGCAGTTTTACAATAGAAAGATCAAGAATTATGGAGACTTATATTTTTTCTAAAAACCTCTCACCAGCACAAACCAGATGTAGCACTTACGATGGCGAATTATTAGGAATTTATGAAGCTGTCAAATATTTTCGACATATGCTAGAGGGACGCGTTTTCATGATCTTCACAGATCACAAACCCTTAACCTATGCTTTTCAACAGGATAAAACTTCTCCTCGTCAAATGAGACACCTAGACTTCATAGGGCAGTTTTCAACAGCTATCCGTTATATTGAGGGTTCGCAGAATATTGTTGCAGACACCTTGTCTCGTATTGATGAACTAGCCGTTCCTTCGCCAATAAAGTTTGCTGCCCTTGCGGATGAACAACACCGGGATTCAGAACTACAAACCTTCTTGAAAAGCAAATCTTCCATCAATCTCAACTTGCAGCCTATGTAGCTGTCACCTGGAAAATCACTTTATTGTAATGTTCAAGATTCAAGCTTTCGACCTTATGTTCCCTCCGGATTTCGCCATGCCATTTTTAGTCAATTACATCGTCTATCACATCCTGGCATCAAGGCTTCGAGGAAAACTGATACAGCAACGTTTCGTATGGCCTAGCATGCAGAAGGACATAGCCAACTGGACACGTTCGCGCTTGGAGTGCCAAAGATCTAAAATTTTTCAGACACACCGCCAGCCAACTTAAAAATTTTAATTTGCCCTCATCTCGCTTCAATCACGTGCACCTCGACTTGGTCGAGCAGTTATATTTATTAATAATAATATAATACATGAATACAATTAATTACTATGTATACATTTTTCTTATCTTGGATAAAGCAAATTTATTATTTACTTCATCAAAGTCGACCCTTTCAAATTTTTCTCTTTCCACACTAAAAAATGCTAGATGACTTAGGGGATCTTGTCTCATCGTTGATTGTAAATATGTGAAAATTTATTTTAATTTGCTGAACGAGCGTTCATAGTTAGCATTTGATAATGAAATAGTAAGTAGTATTTGAAGTGCGACTCTTAGGTTTGGAAAAACATTTTCTCTGTAGATCTGTAGTGAAGTTTTAAGTTCCGTTTCTTTTCTACTGCGGAGTAACGTCATGCAGTCACATTCACTGCTCAAAACAATTAAGGGATATTGTGGGTTCGGTATGAAATAACCATATAATCGACAAACTTTTTGAACAAAAGGAAAGAGAAGAGATTATAAAAGAAAATTGTAACGTTTATAAAGATGAGAATATTCAAATTTTGTCTGTGACGTCGAAAACTATGCGTTTTAGATAAGGAGTAAGGAACGACCTGCAGTATTCCTTTTGTAATAAGAGATTAAAAACAATTGACATGCAATGAATGCTTCGCAGCAGTGAATATACGATGTCTCAGCAAGATGACTTAGTTGAATGGGTAGCCAGGAAGGCCATCAGTCGTTTACAGGAGAGTCAAACGCAAGCCATTGTAGCGGAAGTGTTAGCATTTTCCCAAAATGTTATTTCCAGATTATGGAATCGGATTTGGAAACTGGATATGTTTGAGAATTTCGGGGACAAGGTCGTATTATCGTTTTAAAAATAAGAAGTGGGAGATATACGTGCATTTCGTTTAAAAAAAATAAAAATATATCTTTATTTCGGAGAAATAACGTGGTCAGGGAGAACGTTTTGGTTGATGTACTGCAAACATTTTATTACACATTTTATCAGACAAACCAAGAAAATAAATAATTAATTATATTACAATAGTTATTAATTTTAAATATATTTTCCAGAAATCGATCTAAATGAAAGCTGAAATTTTCAGGAAAATCTTGTTTGGAGACAATTTGGCGCCCCTCTACGAGCAGCGCCCGGGGCATCATGCACCCCCTTGCCCCCCCCCCTCGCTACGCCACTGAACGCGGGAAGCAGTTTGCGATTCTGCACTTTTTCCCAATTTCGCACCTAATCTTCGTCATGATTAAGCATTTTTGTTCCATAAAAGTTCTAATATAAGCGTAATTCGGCTAGCAGGTTGTTGGAAAAAATGTTGACTAAAAAAAAAAAAAAAAAAAAAAAAAAAAAAACACCATGCCTTTACTTCGTGAAAACAAAATGGCGTCCAAAACAAAACTAGCAGGTTGCTGTAGCAGGGTTGGTCGGGAAGTTTTCGCCAAATATCGCCAAGTTACCATAATGTAAAGATTCACCGACATTTTAATTGATAACTTCGTCAATTATGTTCCAACGTGATTGAAATTTCCATATACCGCCCAAAACAAATTGCACAAAAGCAGGTTTGTGTGTATAGAATTAATATCAACCAGAAATAATGAATTTTCTAACAGGGGAATATAAATTAAAAACTATTCCATCAAAAACTTAGAAAAATAAATTAATACAAAAATAAAACAATATTTACGTTAAATTAAGTAATAGTTGATAATTCTTTGTCAAGGAGCAACCGAAAGAATTATCAGCAGAGCTCTGAATTCTATCTGGACGAACTGTAAAACTAACCAAAGAATTCCTAAAATGTATACTAACTAGATGAGGATAGATACAAAATTTCAAGTGCATAAAATTTTTGAGAAGTTTATAAGTTTTTATAAGACTTGCTTTTATCTGAAATAATTATCATGATACAACAACCTTGGGGTCGATTAAGTTGAGATCTGCAGTTCGTTCCTACCAAGCGCATTTGTTCATCACTGTTCTCACGAATTTAGCATGAATGTGAAATTTTTGTTTACTTTTTCATTTTCTTAATGCTTAATTAAACTGCCAATTTATAAAAACTCCATTTTAATTATGTCATTTATTGGTCATAATGAACTAAAATCCCAAGGAAAAGCTATTAATTTGTCTCTTTCAACAGGAAACAGATATTTCTGGACCATATTTCATCACTAAACCAAGAGCAGATGTTGTAGCTTTCAGCACACCCTTTGCATTTTCAGAACTAGCCATAGTATCTGGTTTAGTCCCTGCTAATAAAGACCCTTTTGTTATTTTTGAAGTATTCTCTTGGCAGGTAATTTTTGTTCCTTCTAATAGACAAAAGATAAACTTTTGACGAATTTTGTACTTACGAGTAGATAGGTAATTTTAGTAGAGTTAAAAGTAAAATTGTTGTATTTTTCCGTGTTACGCAGTGCGAGACAAATTTTAAGAGAAAGCTAAGCCGTAAAAGTAAGAACGCAGGGGCAAGTGCAGCTAACAATGAATAAATGGGTTTCTCGGTAATTTGCTGAGACTTCGCCAAACTGACAACGGTTTGGGAAGTTTATTTTGTCGCCAAATTCGGTGATAAATCCCCAAAGTCGCCAAATTTGGAGGCCATTTGGCGACATTTTGGTTTAGTCCCTGTATCACCGTAATAAGTATTATAATTGAATAAATGTAATTGACCACCATGTTAGCTGTAACCGTAATTCCATACTGCTATTGATTTCTAGTAATTTTGCGAAGCAGAAAGTACCAGAAATATCTCGGCGGCCTGTTGAAAATTAAGGGCCAGAGAGAGAGCATCTCAGTCCAGTTGCTTAGTTACTGTCTTTGCGAGTTGTAATTCCTCGTGAAATGATATAAATCCGAGTAAGCTTTCTCTTTAGATGAGCTTTGCATTGCCGTTTTGTTTAACGTTCTTAGTAGTTTGATACGTAACTATTGATTATACGCTGTGGTACTGTGAACACTTGTACGAATATTTCTGTGGAAAATACCAGAATTCTGAAATATTTATTTTTATAAAAATTAATTTTTATTAATCTACTATCAGACTTGTGCATTCAATCTATTACGAAACCGTACGCACATAATAATATATTTCTCATGGCATGCAATCGAAGGAAATGTTACTTTTTCTAAGATTTAAGTCGATAGCGCTTAGATTTTTGGAACATCTTAGACAAAATTATGCAGTGAAACATCGGTTCACGAACGTAATTCGTCTCGGAAGGCTGTTCACAAACTGAAATTCAAAATGTTCTTAAACCGAAGCACATTTTAATTTTACCGTGCCATATTTATCAAGCAAAGAGAAAGCATGATGAATGAAAGAATGTAGTGAAGAAAGAAAGACATTGTTTAGATGTGGGGTATGTTCTATAAAAAAATGTCCAATGTGATTTATTTTTATTGGTTTAAATTTGCTATATCTACGTTTTAAAGTGTTTTTAAAGTGAGGCACAACATTGTCATTCAAAAACGCACATGCTATGGTCTGTTACTATTCAATTGTATAAGGGTGATGTCGTTCTACGAAACGTTGTTGCAAAACACTTTTTGCAAAAGTTTCTCAGACCAATCTTTTTCTTCTTCTCTACTCTGTAAATGGTTCCACTATTACAGTTTTTGTTGATACTGATCTGGGCTGACATTCAAGATCATTAATTTTGCCGAGAGGTGCAATATCAGAGATAAGACAGTTTTTAAAAATACTCCTTAGTGACAATGTCTTCAAAGGTTCTGCCTGTAACATAATTTAGTTCTGTAATCAAATTTTTAGTGCTGTAAACCACTTCCTCTAACCAGGCTTTATCAATGCTTTCTATTACTATAAACCAATTGAGAACGTCAAAATGATGTTTATAAAAGTTTCTGATGTTAATTTTATGTCACAACTTATTCTGAATACGTTACAGGGTATTTTCTTCCTCCTCTCTGCATGCCTTAGTGATGTAACAGTAGCACATTCGGTGCGTATTCGAGGGGTCCAGGTTCAAGTCCCGGCGAGGGCATTGCACCTCTTTCATTTCTCCTGCTGCAAAATAACCTCATGACTGTACAACATCTTCGAAAATTATTAGTTGCTCTCTTGCTTCTTAATTATTGGAGGTACTGTTCGTCACTCGATATTTTTGTTTGTTTGTTTGTTCAGAAAATTAGTTTGTGATGAGACGGATTCTCGACCTCGGTTTAATTGTTTCATGAGTAGCGAAGAGTAAATACTCTAACAAATGTCTGACAAAAAATAAGATTCTGAATTTATTCAAAGCGCCGCCCAGACGGTATAGTGATTAGAGGAGCGGCCTACGATACCAAGAGGCCCGGGCTCGAATCCCGGAGAAGGCAAGGTTGTAACTGTGCGTCCCTTCATCGGAGGCAAACGTGGCACACCTGTTAGGTTCCTCCGTAATTTTAAAGTGACCACCAATTTTGGTCTTAGTAGTGGCCAAGCCGAAGTCGGCTGAGGACGGGGTTACTGGTTTAAAAAAAAATATTATTTAAAGCTGTAAATAATATTTTTTTAACTTAAATAGCTTAACTTTTTAGCTTAAATAATATTTTTTTGTTCTACAACCGATTTGAGCTGATCGATACGTAGGAATATTATACCTGTATAAAACTAACACAGTTTTCTCAGTGAGTACAAAAATATCCTTACAAATAACAGAGATTGGCAAGACCTTATATTATAATAAGTCATTATTGAATTTTTCTTCCAACTTGTGCTGTGTTAAATGTTAATGAGGCTAAAATTTGCAGACAAAATTAAGTTTGTAATTAAAAGGCATTTTTCTGCTTAAATTTTACATTGTTTTCAGACTTTTTTTATCAGTTATGGGAATGTCAGTTAATCATGAAAGAAAAACGGTCTCTCGAAGATTCATTTAGATCAAGATTGAGTCAAAGGTGACATTTTGATAAAATACGTTAGCAAATAATCCCTTATCCCACCAAAACACGATAAACTTGATTTTGGTCTTGAAATTGTAGACAATTGCTCTAAAGGAAGTAATTAATCCGAAAATACACATACGAAAAAAAAAAAAAAAAAAAAAAAAAAAAATCGGAAAAAATTTCAGATTTTATATTACGCCTAAAGGGACGTTTTCTTAACAGTTTGTGTGTTACCTTTATTTATTAAATATCATGTTCTTCGCACTTAAACCATAAAATTCAATTCAATAGCAATATCAAAATAATTTTAAAAGAGCATATCTTTAGAATTTCCGATTCACAATCTCGCGCGCTGGAGATAAAAATGTTTTTTTCCCTGCACAGTATTGCCATTGCTCGCTATGAAATCGTCGAGATTTTTAATCACAAATTCATAAATGCTTTACAAAATAGAAAATAGATAATGAAACCAATTCCAAATTCCAAATTTGGGCTTCCAGATGCCCATATTCGGGTGGAAACGTAGTTATTGGAAATTTGACAGCTCTGGGTACCATTATTTTACCACAATACGAGAAACATACATACATTTATGCAGATTCTTTATTATTTACTTTCTTTAAATGTAATACAGGACTATAATATTTGGTGGCAACAATCTGAAAAATGAAACTCTACAAAATGCCGAAACTAAATTAATCGCCCACCTGGGTTAACGCCCTTTGGGGTAAAATCTGTAATTGGTATCAACTCTCCAAAAATTTAAATGATCATAATCAGCATTAATTACCAAAATAAAAAACTAAAATTAAGTTTAATTTGATAAGAAATTGGTGTTTAACTTATTTGTAAAGCATCAATGTAGAGTGAAACTTTAGCTTGTCTTCAGTGTTATGGAAATGATAAAGAACTGCTCACTAATTACAAGTTTCGTTTCTCATTTTGCAGGTTTGGCTGTTAATTGTATCGACATTGATTCTCATAGCAATTGTGGCAACGTTTACATATATGATTCTGCCAGCAAGAGAAAAGCGAATGAAAGCAGAAGTGTTCCTGGAATTTCTTTGGAGACTGTATGGATCTTTTATGTGGGAAGGTATTAAAAAAAAATACATAAGTTGTGGTTTAGTTTACTTGCAATCGAAGCTAATATTTGTTGCATTAAAGAAACCCAAAGCGCAATTGAAATGAGTTAAAACATATTTTATTACAATAGAACCCAGTTTATGCGAACCAACTACGAAAAATTCATTTTAGATAAAACAATTTTGTTTTTGTTTGTTTGTTCAAAAGACCCATGATCAGACTCGTATTCATTCAGAATGGGAAGGCATGTTTCGTGTAGACACCAGCTTCAATAATAACATTATTTGGAGGTATATTTTCTATAAAATAAGCTTCCAACTTCCTTTAAGTATGTATGCTTTTTCATTTAAATCGCATAAAAATAATTTGCCAATACAATTAATTTTTTCATACCTGTTTTTATCATAATTCAAGAGGCTTCTTTTAAGCTGTCTCATAGATAATGTTTAAAAACTCTTAATTTAAATAAATAGAATTATTGACTACAGTTCTATTAATTTTCATGTAAATATCTACAAAAGTTTCAACTTATAAAAAGAAAACATAAAATAAACAAAGCAAAAAACTAAAAGCTTTCAGATTTTACATTACGCCCAAAGGGGCGTTTCTTTTAACGTTTTGTGGGTTACCTTTCTTTATTAAATGTCATATTCTTCGCACTTAAACCATAAAATTCAGTTCGACAGCAATATCGCAAAATAATTTTAAAATGAGCGTATCTTTCTAATTTCCGATACACAGTATCGCGGGCTGGAAATATTTTTTCCCTCATACAGTGTTGCCATTTCTCGCTTTGAAATCATTGAGTTTGTTAATAAAAAGTTCACTAAATTTTTACAAAATATGAAGTAGACAACAAAACAAATTCCAAATTAGGGCTTTCAGATACCCATGTATTCAGTGGAGGATTACGTTATTTAAACTTTGATGGCTCTGGGTACCGTTGTCTTATCACAGTGCGTGAAACATATATATATTTATGCAGATTCTTCATAATTTGATTTCTTTAAGTATAACATAGGGCTATAATATTTGGTGGCAACAGTTTGAAAAGTGAAACGGACATTTATAAAGCTTTCGACGCAAAATGCCAAAACGAAATTAATAGCCCTTCTGGGCTAACAAAAATAGCTTCTTATAAATAACCCTAAGTTTTAAGTTTCAGAAATCCTGATTGACTAGCATCTATGGCAGTTCATTGAACGCTGCCTTTGATAGTCACGATTCAGATAGTAAATGTACAATACATAAACAGAATGAAAACGTGCCAACATTTAAAGCTTGAACAACTAAAATTTCTATGAAGTATAATTACAAGGTAATTCTTATACGCGTAGGAGAAATAATAACTTTACGGAATTTTATTAAATATTTCAAAGGAATTATCTTTAAAGTTTTATATTATTTTCAGGTCACTGGTTTGATGTCCTAACAAAACAGAAAATGTTCCCACTTGTAAGAAATATTTATTCTAAGCATTCTGTATAAACGATCCGATCAAGTAACTGCACAGCTGTTGTATCTGTTGTTGTTGTTGCTAGTCCTCGAGTCCAGCTTCTGCTAGACGAGATCCACGAGTTTATTCACCATCCAAAATTCATAGACTAGCATAGGAAACTTTAATAGGAAATATCTTATTTTCAGATCACTGGTTATATAAGTTTTATATTATTTTCAGGTAACTGGTTTGGTGTCCTGGCAAAACAGAAAATGCACCCACTTGTAAGAAATATTTATTCTAAGCATTCTGTATAAACGATCCGATAAAGTAACTGTTGTATCTGTTGTTGTTGTTGCTAATCCTCGAGTCCAGCTTCTGCTAGACGAGATCCACGAGTTTATTCACCATCCACTCATTTCAGATCACGGTTTATAGTTTTATTATTTTCAGGTCACTGGTTTGAGTCCTGCAAACCAAAAAGCACCCACTTGTAAGAAATATTTATTCTAAGCATTCTGTATAAACGATCCGATAAAGTAACTGTTGTATCTGTTGTTGTTGTTGCTAATCCTCGAGTACAGCTTCTGCTAGACGAGATCCACGAGTTTATTCACCATCCAAAATTCATAGACTAGCATAGGAAACTTTAATATGTCGTCGTAGGACAAACCCAGACACCTAATAATGTGTGTCGGAGAAGACACCTAAGACTTTGTTACATTTCGGATAAATCAGGTGCGTTTGTTGACCACCTTGGAAGGTAAGGCTACTTAGATGGCCACTAAGCCGCCCAAACGGTATAGTGATTAGCGTCGCTGACTCCTGTGCCGAAAGGCCCGGGTTCGAATCCCGGAGAAGGCATGAATGTTTGTAAATGTATAGTGTCGCTGCGGCATGGCCGCAATATGTGGAGAAGCGAAAGTCGTCTCATGTGGTTTGGTGAAAGGGGAGAGGGGATTCTATTTTGATGGAGAGCACCTTGGACCCGTCTCCCCGAGGTGCTCTCCATCAAAATTGGGGGCGAAACTGAGCTAAATCGCACGGTCACCTGAATGATGCTCAAGGCTGTTGCCAACGGCAGGCGTAATCTAGCGCTCCTTGCCATGAGGAATTTCGTGGACTTGGGCTGACTACGTCAGACAAGTGAGCATAAGCAACAACAAAAACAACAGATGGCCACTAAGAAAGTGGGACAGTGCTATCTGGATGCATCTGTTACACCTTTTATCTTGAATAACTCCTTTTTTCATAAGTGCACAAGTTTCTTTGGAGGTTTGAACTATTTTAAATAATATCATAGAAATTTTTTCCATCATTCTAACTTAACCGTTTTATGCACCTTATTTTAAACATGAAATTTAATTTTCTATATCAGGCATTCCCAAACGTTTTCTTGCATCAACCCCTTTTAAAAGAATGGTTTTCCTCATCGACCTCCCTTACATTTTTATCTATAATATACAGTTTATAGCATAATCAAATTTAAATAATGACTCAGAAATAACTTAAAGAAAACAATTACTCTAAGAATACAGAACAAAAGTTTTAAAAAAATTGTTTATTAAGTTTTATTATTTTTACTCCAAAGGGGCTTTATCCCTGAAGGACTATTGTTTTCGTTTTGCGATTTTGCGTTGAAACCCTTAAAGGGCTGTATCACTTTTCAGGTCGTTGTCACCAAATACTAGCGCCCTGTATTGTATTTGAAGAAATTAAATAATGAAGAATCTGCATAAATGTATGTATGTTTCTCGCATTGTGATAAAACAATGGTATCAAGAACCATCCAATTTTCAATGATGTAATCCTACGGCGAATATGGGCATCTGAAAGCCCAAATTTGAAATTTGGATCTTGTTTTATTATCAATTTCATATTTTGTAAAACTTTAACGAATTTTCGAGTAACAAACTCAACGATTTAAAAGCGAGCAATGACAACACTCTACGGGGGAAAAAAAAAACCTTTTTATCTCCAGCGAGCGGAAATGTACCGGAAATTCTAAAGATAGGCTCATTTTAAAATTATTTTGCGAACTGCTATTGAACTGAATTTTATGGTTTAAGTGCAAAGAACGTGATATTGAATAAACAAAGGTAACATACAAAACGTTAAAAAAACGCCTCTTTGGACGTAATTTAAAATCTGAAACCTTTCAGAATTTTTTTTTTTTTTTTTTATTATTATTATTTCAAATTGTACAAATTTTCAAATAGAAAATGGCAAATTCTTTCCGTATTAAGTTATTCACTTGACAAAAGCTTGCTTATACTGTATAAACAAGTGGCAAAGGTCAATAATCTTGGTCCGGGAACAACTTTGATTTGGGGATATTTCTTTCGTGACTTTTAAATTCCAAATCTTAGCGAACCCATGTGGTCTGAATCAAATTTGATTTATTTCTACTGTAAAGGGTTATATTAATAATTAGTTAATATAAAATTTAATTAATACTTTTTAATCAATTTGATCTTGATTATGCGGATCAATTGCAGGTGCATTTTCGGCTATCGACCTTTGAGCATCATAGACTCTCTTTAAAATTTCATCCACCCCCAGGGGATTTCCGATAGACTGCTCTTGAACAATAGACCTATCGTAACTGACTGCTTTATTATTTTTACATTTTTTAATTGTTTAAATTCGGCTTATCCTTTTGAGACTTGAATGATAACCTCTTCGAAGATTAGATAATAATCATAACTTCTTAAACTGCAATTTAATTTTTCGCTGACTTAGTTCCTAACAGGATTAAAATATATTTATCATGAAATTTACATGTTTTACGTACCCAGCTGTATGTAACATACCGCATATATTCTACCAGAGAGTTTTTTAACACGAATCTCAACGCGGAATTCTAGTGTTTGATGAGAAATCTCAAGAGGTTATACCTGAGAAATAATAATGAACAAGTTAATCATATAGAAATGTATTTTAGAGTCATATAATACTTTTTACACAGTGGTTTCCTGTAGCATGAAAATAATTTTAAGAATACCACGAGATAAAATACCTGCTTTTTTTAAGATTATTTTAAATTATATTTTCAATTTTGCTTCCCTGTACGAAGTAAAGGAAGTATTGTAATCACGAAAAATTTCGGTATCATATTTCAAGGAAAATATCCGTTTTGACCGCCATCGAATGCAATTTAACGATGTTTTTGCATGAGATCTATATGTAAGGACAGAATAAAGGATTCGTTTTTTCCAAACGAATTATAAAATTGATTTAAAATGGATTCAGAAGAAACGTTTTCGGGACGTCTGTACTTACGTACGTATTTATGTATGTATCTCGCATAATTCAAAAACGAGTAGCTTCAGAACGTTCAAATTTTGTATAGAGGACTGTTATAACATGTAGCTGTGCACTTCCCTTTTTGGTTGCAATCGCCGCACTAAAAGTATATACAGGTTATACAAAATTACGTTATACAAAAAAGGTTATACAATACAATCTGTTACTCGGCTCGGTGAGCTCAATTTTTTTTTTTTTTTAATTCTTATATGTTTGTAATGATTGAATTATGTTATTCTTATCTTCCGGTTAAGGTTTTTTATGCCTTTAGTTAATCTGCATGCAACAATTGGAGAATTGTCAACAATTAAAAAGCGTTTAAGTTCGGCTAAGCCTAATTTTTGTTTTCCATAGCAGCCATATTTGTTTACATTTGAAACTTAGCAGAATAGGTAATTAAATCAGTTTCTGCACCTTTAGTGTTGTCACTAGTCGGTGTCTTTTTGAGGTTTTATGCACTTTTTGCTTTACCGCGATGTTAGAAATGAATTAGTTGAATGGGAAATATATCTCTAAAGATATTCGAGGAAATAAGTTTAAATGAAATGCAGGAAAAACTGCGTATATTTCTACATGCCTTCGTGATATTCGTACACTCGGCGCGTATTCGAGAGGTCCAAGATCGAGTCCCGTCGAGGCTTTGCTCATTCTTCATGTCTCCTACTTCAAAATATCCTAATGACTCAGCAAGCTTTGGTATGTGCAAATAAGCTATTTTAGCCCTGAAGAGTCAGTGTATAAAGTTTGGTAATTTTCTTAGCTATCATGAATTAGAACAAAACCCTACAGAGACAGACAGTGAATTATCACTAAGTCTAAAATAACAATGGAACCTTGAGAAGAGTTTAAAAGGCCCTTTATTAAAACTGAAGAAGAACAGAAGGCATATCTTGCGCTTATAACTCAGCCAGCACTTATGGCGAAATAACAACATAAATTAATTTAACGCGAAGTTACCTCAAAACCTAACCGGTGTAGATATTCAAATATCAAAGGATGAAGACTGCAAATTTTATCTAAGTTAGCAACCTAGCTACGTGGCCTAGGGAGAGAGAGAGAGAGCTCAGTCTTATAATCTAAAAACCTCTTTAAATGCACGCGAATTAATATACACTCTAGAGTGGAAATGGAATAAAGAAGTGATAGTAAAAGTCTAAATTATAAATAACTGGTTAATTAAAATAATAAACCCCCCACAAATCTTTGGCCAATCTGAGTTTTATGAGAGACGGTGATGAGTTAAATAAACGGCATTTTTTCCTTTGCTTCGTATGCGTTGTTCTAGTTCTTAGAAATCTGAGCGTATTAAGCGGCTTAATTTATTAACCAGTACGTTTAATAAGCATCGAGATCTATATATACCCGAAGAACTCTAATAACTTAAAATGCCAAAAATTCAAATAGCGATAGGAAATGCATTTGAAGAGATAATTACTTTGATGTAGACGATGTCGCTTTGCTGTATACACAGACTACCAATAAGTATTTGGACACCTGTGATAGAAAAGAAAAACTAACTTTATTCAAAATCAATAGTTGTTAGAGCCTCCACGAGAGGTAATTACAGCGTGGACCCTCCGGGGATACTTTCCACAAGTTTTTGTATGACAGCTAGTGGTATTTTCTTCCACTCGGCTTGGAGAAGACATAGAAATTCCTTCACTGATTTTGCACGGGTAGTGCACCCCTGAATTCGGCGATGCAACTCGTCCCAGATGTTCTCGATAGGGTTCAGGTCTGGACTCTGGGCAGGCCAGTCCATTTGATAAACTCCATTGGCACCTTGGTTAACGTCGAAACATGAAAACAGGCATTGTCGTTCTGAAAGTAACAGGGGTCCAACCCGTAAAACTGCCACAACGTAGGAAGCACATTGTCATCCAAAATAGTGCAGTAGGCATCGGAGTTGAGCTTACCATGGGTCCCAGCCCATACCGGGAGAAACACTCCCAGACCATAATTCCACCTCCGCCGAACTTGACTGTTGGCACAATACATTCTGGAAGGAGACGTTCTCCAGGTAGACGGCAGACCAAGACCCTGCCATCCGAACGGTAAAGGGTGAACCTTGATTCGTAACTCCAAAGAACCCGTTTCCACTGATATACGGTCCAATTTCGATGTGCTTTGCACCACATTAACCGAGCAGCGCGGTTGGACTTTGTGATCAAAGGCTTATGGGCAGCAGCACGACCATGAAAACCAAGCAGATGTGCTTCCTTATGGATGGTATTCATTGAAACAATACTCCCGGTTGCTGTTGAAACTCCTCGCGGATGAGGGCCTTCAGTTGGGTGCGGTTCTTCCGAATTTCTCTGGACAGCACTCGTTGGTCTGTATCTCCCAGTTTTGTTGGTTTGCCGACTCGGGGCACATTCCAACAATTACCACTCACCTTAGGACCGCAGATATCGTCATTTGCATAGGTTTCCAAATACTTATTGGTAGTCAGGGTATATGGTGCCCAATATATCGTTCACAGAGGATTGCCTTGAAGAAATATGAGTGTAGGTTAGGTTAGGTAAAGTTACTTGGTTAGGGGCAAACACGCAAGAGCAAGAGGAGATATACTTTCCTTCTAAGGGAAACTAACTTATATTCACGTTTAAACACAGGGAAAACCACGAAAATCAATCATGCAACCCCTCACCTGGGTTCGAACTCAGATCGTACGCTCTTTGTAACCGCTGGGCCACTGGTGTGAATTATGAAAGTAAACACCGATATAAATTTATACTAGACACTGGTGGACAATTTCTAAGGATGGATAAGAGTAGCAGCGATAGCAACCACAAAATAGAAGGCAGGAAAATGTGGAAGTTATTTACGAACTTCCAATTTTAAATATGTTTTCCTGATATCACTTAGATGATTTTACGAAGAGCAAAAAATAACAGATGCTGCTAGACAGTTCGATATCAGCCAGTGTTCTTTCAAGTCTTTGAAAATCCTTACAAACAAATCAAATGTGTAACAAACGTGATGGGGAGATCGTGCTCGCAGTACGATGCTAGCAGAAAATAGGTATATGGTGCTGTGGACAAAAACGAACCGGAGCAGCACAGCTAATAAATTAGCAGATCAGCTACTTGCTGCTACTGGCAAGCAAATCTCCAGAAAAAACTGTAGCCAGACGTTTGCATCAAGGAGGACTATGAGCCCGCACTCTTATTGTGTGCATTCCATTGTCTAGATGCTAACATTCCTCCTGTTTGCAATGGTGTCGTCAGCATCGCAATTGGAGGGAAGACGACTGGACTTGTGTACTATTGTCAGATGAACTTAGGTTCAGTCTGTCGTCTGACTGTGGACGACAACTAATGTGGCGTGAGAGTGGTACTGCATATAGTCCGGCAAACGTCCAGGACAGGTTCCGATATCCTACATGTAATGTGACGGTAAGGACTGGGATCACGATCAAGCGCCTTACCTCGTTCTGTGTGCTTCTAACTGATCTTACGAATGGCTCTGTGTGCTTCCAACTGGGCCTACAAATGGCCAACGATACATTAATGATGCTCTGCTGCCTCATGTTCGCATGTTCCATCGGTCGGTGACAAATTTGTTTTAATGGGCGACAACGCAACATGTCATTGAACAGTCGCTGTCCAAGAGTGTCTAGAGAAGGAGGTTATTGAACATCTCGTATGGCCAGCATGTTCTCCAGATCTGAATTCCATTGAAAATGGTTGGGATGCTTTGGAGAGAAATCTTGCTGGCCGACAATGTTCTGCAATAAACAAGGACACCCTCATCTGTTCACTGAGAGAACAATAGGATAAACTACCCCAACAGCTGCTGGATAATGTGCAAAGCATGAAACGACCTATGGAATCTTACATCGCCCTCCATGGTCGCCATATCCCGTGTCAATATCTAACGCCAGAATGCCTGCGGGCGATAGTTGAATTTTTCTCACTTTTACGTACTAAGCACAAAATACCCATTTTGTCCCTTGAAAATTTTTCAAAGTGTTCTGAATTTCATAGCATAATAAATTATCTTTATTGTCATGTCCTAGTATTCTGGCATTATTTTACTTCACTTGGCGACCAACCACACTTACTTTTCTACGCGCTATATAGCCATTTATCACCCATCCTTAGCAATTGTCCACCAGTGTATAAAGCAAAGGACATGGCAAATTTAGTTATAATTCTGATATATGTAATTGGAACAATGAAAATGAATAATCCTTTTTCTCTACATACTCTCTGCTAATATAGTAGTATCGATATGAAATAAATTTCCTTGCAGATATTGGGTCTCCACAGAAATGGCTATATTTTCACATCTGGTCATCCGTATCCTTTCGAATGCTGCTTTCTTTATGGTTGCTTGGGCCAGTGTTAATCATTATGTACTCATATCAAGGAGTCATTACTTCGAAATTTGCTTCAGATAAACTCATCCCAAGAATACAAAACATGGATCAGCTCTTTAGAGACACAGGAGTGAAAATATGTACTTTGCAAAATTCATATCCATTAGATTGCTTTAAGGTAAATTCAGTTATCAAATTATATTTTAATCAATATCATTTACAAAACATTATTGAAATAGTTTCTTTGGTAATCCATTATTATAGCGTAAGATTTTAAAAGCGAGTAAGTTTCCTTGTATGAATAAATGTTTTCCTGTACCTAATCTACGTTCCATTACAGGTGATATACATGAAGAATTCGTAGTTATTTGCTTTTTCAAGCATTGAAACTAGCTCCTTATTGATTTTTTATAAGAAGTGCTTCTTTGAATTAAGCAAGTATTACAAAAAATAATAATTTAACTACTTCTTTCTTGATTGTGTTTCTGTTAATTACAAGTCTTTCATACATTGTGCCAATGTTGTGCCAATGTTGATTGTATGCCCTTCTCGATAATGATTGCATGCCGATAGTATGCCTGTTGAAATCTCGTTTCTGTCATATGAATCGTGAGGAACAAACGGTTTTAGTCATGCCGTGTTGACAATATCGTTTCCTGTCATACATGAAATCGTGAAGGACACAAACCGTTTTTTTTTGTCGATTTTCCTCCATCTTTTTTGTCTGTGCATGATCGGTTAACTTCGATGCCTTTGTTTTAGTGTCACCCGCAACTTGTCTCTCGTTTTTGTACCGGCCTCAAGCAATTTCATCAAGTATTCTTGGGACCTTCGAGATTTTAACCATCTTTACAATGATTAATAATCAAATTTGTAACAGAACTCGCCGTTAATTTTGCGCACTGCCGTGTTCATTCCATACATGGAATTACAAATTTGCTAAACAAGATCACCTATTTCAAATACTTTTGGATTACTGTTTTTTAATGCAAAATTTATTGACAAAAAACTCCATCTTGCGTACCATTTCAACAAAGTTTTGAGTTCCGAATTATTGAGTTACCGACTAATACGTTTAAAGAATCATTTTATCATCTTTTTTGTAACAAACAGGGCTTAAAATAGAAAATTAATATGTTAGAAAAAAATTTGAGTTCATGTTTTAATATTTAGTATAAGATCCATGCAAATTAATTTCAAAAATACAAGTGTCCGAAAACTAATGTGAGCCGCCGCAACTTAGATCTGTGGAGCTGTATATCAATCCAATACGTAATATAAGTGTCCCTTCCGAAACATCAGAAACGACAGTTGAATTCCATCGACTAGCAGAACATGACGATAGCACATTTTTTTTTGGGGGGGGTGACATCTCGTTCTACATTACTGCATGGTAGGAAGAGATTCTTTACATTCGAAGCATCGACTAATACCTTAAAATTCAGTGAATGTAGACGATTGCCAGAAAATAATGATTTTGCTCGAGTTCATGCACCTTTTTAAATGTTTTCGACGAATGTTTTTAAATGTTTTAAATGTTTTCGATTTAGTTGCCTATTTTACCTTATTTGAATTATTATCTCTAAATTTAAATAGTTTATTTCATGCTGGAACACGCCGTAATAAGATACTTCTGAAATGTCGTTGTGACTAATGCTCACTTATCCGTATATAGTCAGTCCAAACGCACGAAATTGTTCCTGGCAGAGCGGAAGATACGCTGTCGTTGTCAACAGCCCTTGAACCTTAGGTACAGTGGATTTAGCATGGAGAGCACCCCGGGATAACGGGTCCAAGGGTCTCCCCCTCCTCTGCCCCTACCACCAACCTCTCGAGAGTGTCCTCATGCCGCACGCAAACTAAACATTTACAGGCATCCATGCCTTCTCCAGGATTCGAAGCCGGGCTCTTCGCCACGGCAGTCTGCGATGCACTAGACCGTCAATATCGGAATGCCTGCTATTGTTAGCTGGGCGAGCTCAATATACGTAGGAGAGGAATAGAAGGAAAGGTTGGAATTGTTTCCAACGAAATATTAGATTGGAATGGCTTCAATGGGTACTAGGCGAAAAATGGATAAGCTCCTGACTTATTCCGGAACCGTGGAAGGAGTTTCACTGCTTATTTTTCCTCCATGTTGTAAACATTTGTTTAAGGACAGTTAACTTTTACTTTATGAACAACAAAAATATTTCGTCGAGAAATACGAGTTGCAATGTAAAATTGTATGTTATTTAAAAGCTTAAAGGCATAACGTTTTGGCGAAATTACATAAATTGTTTATTCCACGAAATTTTTTATCAGAACTCTTAGTACGGTAAGTTAGTATTACATGAAGTTAGGTAACTAAGTTTTTATTTACTTAAGGATGTAGAAAATTGTAACTGTAAAAAAAGTGGGGCAGACAATCACGAACGCTAGCTACGCCACAAAGTAGGAGCTAGTTTCATAGTAAGCGCTCAAATCCCGGAACGACTGAAAATTCCCTATACTCAAAATCCGTTTTCCTTTCTCCTCTTAGCTCATCCTTACAAATCTTGGACTCTTCCAACAAACAATAGAATTCGTTCCGGGATTGAGCGCCTACTTCTGCGACGTTAACCAATATACCGGTTGGGCGGCATTCTGAAATGTTCAGTAGAGGTACCTCATTTGAAATATCGCGAGCTGCGCATTCAGATTTTAATTTCGGGATTTTAATATTTAAAATTTTTGAAGACTAGAATCCGCTATAATAGCGGTTTATTTAAAAGTTTCAATGAAATTAAAGTACCGTCTTTATTATTACATATAATTACTTGTCCTTTTTTGATTAATTGAACTTTCCTGACTCAAACCCTTCAATCGAATGAATTTTCGTAGCTGTTTGGAGAAGTGTTTTGAAATAGGTTTATCTTTGGGGTAGACAATAAATGCTGCCACCCAGACGGTATATTAGTTAGGCGAGCCTGCTGCGATACCGAAGGGCCTGGGTTTGAATCCCGGAGAAATCATCGATGTTTGTAAATGTATAGTGTCTTTGCGGCATGGGCCATTCTAAATATATGCCGAGCCGAAAGCTCTCTCGTGTGGTTTGGTGGTAGAGGAGAGGGATTGGAGGCCCTCGGACCCTCCCCCAAAGTGCTCTCTCTCAAAATTAGGGTGGAAGTAGAAGTTCAACCTCCTTGAGGTTCTGATAACCATTCTTCCATGAAATACATGGACAAGACAACAACAGAAAGTGTTGGTTAAACACTTTAAATAATAATTAATTTAATCTAAATAAATCTTCATTTGCAGTCTCTGCATAAATTACTTTAGTTTATGGTACAGATGTTGAAGAAGAGGCTTTAAATGAACTTATAGTTATTGAATGCTCCTCAAAATTATGGATTATTGATTTTTCAGATGCTAAAAAAATTCATTAGCTAGGTTCTCCTCTTGTTAGAAGACAATTAAAACTCACCCTCAGAAAGAATTAAGCCACCACAAATAAATTTTATTTAGAGCTATCAGTTATACGTTTTTGTCATGAGACTGAGTTTGCATTGATTCCTAATCGTACAACTAAAGACATTAAGAAAAAAGAAAAATTTATACATGAAGGCATATGTATTTAAATTTAAAAAAAAAATGTTTTTTATAAGCTTTGAAGATTTATTGCTACTGAGTTTAAGTATTAAAATTATTTCTTAAAATTTATTCAATTGGGAAACTTTTTTTTTTTTTTTTTTTTTTTTTTTTTTCTAATTTTGAAACCCTTAATGATGTCCGTTCTCTTAAATTTTGCTTGAAGTTGATAAATAATAAAAACATTTTCCGGTGTTAATTTGAATGAAAGTCTGGTCCAAATATGATTAACAGCCCATGAGATAAAGCGGTTATTTGAGCACTTCTCTCTAGTTCCTTGATACCAGTGTAATTTTCAAAACAGTTTGGAGAATGACAGGCAAATACCATGCTAACAAGAATCTGCACCAATTCAGCAATACTGGGCGAAAACAATTTTGCGCTCCTGCAGAAGCCTGCTGTCTCCTTTTACGTGTATATTATCATTAATCATTGAAAATTAAATCTACTTTTATTCTCATGGCGAAATCCTAGAAATAACGCAGATGATATTTGAATATTTTAAGGCTTATCTCACATTGCGAAGTAATGTATTAATATCTGTGGGCAAAAAGTAAATACGAAAGAAAATATCACTCTCTTTATAAATAAATTAGAATTATGAATTGGAAAACTAAACATCCTTCTGTTAAATCTCAATAATATAATTTTCAATGATACAAAACAAAGACTAAAAAAAGAAAAAAGGCAAACATTAATTTGATTTTTCATTCTAAATTTGTCTAAAACTTTTTTTTTTTTTTAAAAGAAATTAATTGGGACAGAACGTGAATCATTGTGGTGGCGAGCCGAAAAAAATTTGAGAAATCCTCCAGGAAATTCTACTCCTCTTTGGCTTGATGAAATTGAAGATGGCAAATGTGTCTATGTAGCAGAAACTGTGACCATGAAAGCGTTAATCGGCGAAAGGTTTAAGAAGACCGGCAAATGTGGGCTAAGAGTTACACCTACCGACTTTTGCACTGCATACATTGCCTTCGCTTTCAGAAAGGAATTTCCCCAGAATGTTTTAAGAAAATTTGATGAAAGGTAATCAAAAATTATTTCTCAAAAACTATCAGTTAGCTTCATACTTTTTCCAATAAAATAATGCTCCATGAAAAGCTGTTGTAGTATATTAATGTTACTTTAAAAAAGCTTTATACGATTAAAAAAAACTATTACATAGTTCTAGAGATATTAGGTTATTTCGAAGCAGGAGACATGAAAAATATGCCGCGCCCTCACCGGAACTCGAACCTCGGATCTCTCGTATACGCGTCGAGAGTGCTAACCATTACACCACGAATATAGAACAAAATATACCCGCCTTCTTAGCATTCAACATGCTAAAAAGGCGGGAAAACTATCTTCTGTGCTCCCTCTTTTAAAGGGCAACTGGGCATTAGGGGACCCAATCGCCAAATCCTGGTGGTAGAGAATCATTATCCACCACCTTTTTTTAGTTCGGGTGCCACTAGAGACATTAGGTATACGTTGAAAGCAGAAGAGATGAAAAATATGCAATGCCCTGGCCGGGACTCAAACCTCAGACCTCTCGAATACCCGCACAGAGAGTGCTAAGAAAAG